CGCGCCAATTGGAAAAGTTATTTTTAAGAATTTAATACGTCTTTGATTTGCTTATTATGACTTTAAAAGGTTTTTAGTAAAAGAATGTTCAAACAAAGTATTGCCGTCAAATAAATTTACATTATTAATGTGCATGCACGCGTTGTTTTGTTCAACTCAAAATTCTGTAATTTATTGACTGAATTAATTTTCAGCATTTAAATTCTAGTAGTGAATTAAAATAAGTATGTAGATGTGAAGTCACGAAAAAATCTCCTATGATCACTACAATACTATTTTCCTTGCTGGGTTGCCGTGTGTGACGCGAAAGAATTTATATATATTTGAAAATTTATATATAGATATATATATATATATATATATATAGTAGCAACGTGAGAGATAGATTGAGATGAGAAATGTAGATGACTCGTATTTTGTCGTTTAATAGTCGTCAAGGTCAACATCTTCCAAAGGTTCATCAGCCTGCAGTGATTGAAAATCGACTTTATAACGCAGAATTCCTAGAAACGTTAAATTCGAACGTAAAAAAAACAGTTTAAGATACAAAAGAAAACCCGCAATAGTGATATAAAGGATTTGAGGGGACAATTTTTTTTTTGTGAGAAAGTAATATTATACAATATAGAAACAAATAAAAGGAATAATCGATAGAGTAAGAGGATTTTTTTTTTTTTTGACAAAAGGAACATTGATGATATAGGATATTTTTTTGGTGGCAAAATATCACAATTACAAATAATTGGTATTTCATTTTAGCCATTTACATAAGCAGCGACAAGGAATAAAAAAGAGAGAAAGAGAAATTTTGTCATTTAGCCAAACTGTTCTTAATATAACATTACATAAAAAAGCAATAAATAAAAAAAATAGCTAATTTCACAGAAATTTATTATGAGGGAGTTGTGTAATTAAACTGCAGTACTGAGGTAGGAAGAATGTTTATAACCTCAATTCCAGAAATTTAACGACTATTGTTTGACGTGAAACATCTTTAATTTTTGTAGGGCGAATTATTACTTGTATAAAAAATGTAAAAAACGGATCGATGAATATTTCGACATTTATTGATAACGATATAATTAACTGCATAAACTGATAAATATAACGCTAAATGCATTCATTAATTTAAAAAGTATACCGATAACTACATATAACGAAGACAAAGTGGATAAAAAACGGTTCGAACTTGGTTGATAAATATGACGATAATTATATCAAAGATCATATAAATAACGATATCGATAAATTTAGCGATGATTACATCAATAAATAATTGAAAATGTTATCAATATACCGGTAACAGACCTTGCGTATGTCGCGGTACACGAGGGTAAAATAATTTATTCAAGAGTGTGAGATGCCAAAAATTACATAAAAGCCCTTCGGATTCATATGATTACAAATTTTACAATTTCACAATTCACTTTCTCTCTAATTTTCACTTTGGTATTTCTTAACGACTTTAAAATAAATTTCTGTGAAATTCTTCATCTTAGAAAATAAAATTAGAACACTAATGTACCAAAAAGCGTAAAGAAACTTACCACCAATGCCACCGAAACCTCGCACAAACTGACTGCCTTCCTGAGATTTATCCGTAATAATCTCAAGTGTAGCACCGAACATTTTGTAATTGTTCGCCAGCCATTCTAGCAACGGCTGAGACTCGATTAATTCCATTTCAACGCCACTCTAAAAATGGGAAATTACATTAATATAAAAAGCTTTACAAGATTGCATATCGACCCCTAAATGCAAAAAGCCGTGACTAACAATTTTTTTTTGAGGAGACGCTAAAAACGTTATAAAGTTCAGAGTATTTACATATATATGTGCATAAAACGATGTGGGAACCTGTGAATTTTGGATTTTGTGTTATGTTAAGCCAATGCATTTCAGGTGACGATATGTAAATAAGAAATATTTCCGTTGGTTTGAGTTATAAAAAAATATAGCCAGCACAAAACCGCTTAGTAGCTTAAGTTCAGAATCGCAGCAGACTATACTCCTTATTCTTGTACAACAACTCACTTCCTTATCGGTGAAGTGTGACTTATCCTTCTCTTGTTCGGGCGTCAAATGCAATACTGTGTTCGACGTGGAGTTCGCATGATTCTTCAATACATAACGCTGTATATCTAAATTTTCCCAACATATTAAAGTCTCAACGGAACCCAATTCCAAGGCGCGCAAGGTATCCTCTACACCAAAGCAATATTTTCCAGTGTCCTAGAATAGAGAATTGTTAGCATTTTTAATAACGACGCAAAAATACATGCACGAAAAGCAATACTTCTTTAATATTTATTTAGAAAGGCGTTTCGTCGGTGGCACCAACTCACCTGAGAAATTTCATCAAAGTAACGTCCAATGAGTTTCTTCTCTTGTATGAATTTAACATTCTGCAATGACTCAGCCGCCAGTTCTATCGCTTGATTAAAACCATTTTCACCGCCATACGATACATCCACCAGCTTAATAACCTTGGATTGCAGTCTCTAAAAAATACAAAACCGGAAAAAAAGAATATGTAAAAATCCCGCTCCTGCTTCGCGCTTTTATTTGTTCACCACTTACAGGATCGAACATATCAGATTGACTCAACTCGGTCTTGAAGTCCGCACTACCAGCTAAAATTAAGCCCGCAATATTCGGTTTATCACTCGTAATGAATAATTGCGTAGCAACTTCGGTCACTTTACGTACATAATTGTGACGCTTCTCCATACGCAGACGTGCAAAACGCAACGCTGACTGACCACCACGCCCGTGCTTCTTCGGCAGATCGACAGTAAATTTGTGCAATACTTCACGTGTATTACCTTGTAGTGTACCAAAGAGAGCGCCATTACCATCCATCACTATGAAACCGAATTTATTATCATCGGCCAATAAAGCGGTCAACGCTTCAGTGTGGAACTTATTATCGCATAAATAAAGCGATGTATTAATCGGTTTGAAGGGTTCAAAATCGATATTAACCTTCTTCTCTTTGCCCTCTTCTGTGACAATGGTGCCACAGTAGATGACCAGACCATTAGGAGGCACTAAAAGTGAAATAAGAAGAAAATATGGAGTTACGAGAAGAGAAAAAAAAAA